CGGCTCCTAGCCCGGCGCACGTGGCTGGAAGCCATTGGAACCCTCCCTGACATTTGTACAGAAATTGCCAGGAGGGATTGTCGAACTGGGGGAGGAGGGGGCCCGCACGATTAAGGACTTAGCTGCAGGCCGTTAGGAAACAGCTCGCATTAGTGAATCCTGTGACCAATTCTGCAGACAAGGACATTGCACCGCATTGCGAGGACAGGTCCCTGGTTTTTAATGTACGCTACTTTTAAACAAAGGGAGTATCAGTAGATGCCAGGAAATGAAAGCCTTTTCATATTCCGATTATTTGTTGTCCACCATAGATTAAATGAAATGGTGAAGCTAGGAGTAGTGGCGCACGCCTTGTAATTCCAGCACTCTGGGAGGCTGAGGCAGGAGGATCTCAAGTTCGGAGGAGTTGGGGGGAGAGGAATAGGAAAAAAAGCTATATCATGTGCAAATACAAATTCCATATGATGAATGTTACGTGTCTAAAATGTGCCAATAAAAATAATTCAGAGAAAAAGAGAATCTCTCCCGCAAAAAAACAAGCTTTCTCTGAGTCTACACCAAGTGGGAGTGTGCAACATTGCGCACAAGCAACAGCCTACCTCAGCTGTCAGCCCTGTCTTGGGGTCTCAGTCCGTCTTCCACAGTGGAGGGTGCACTTTCCATCCTGTAGACGGAGCAGTTTCATCCTGTTTTAAAAGTCCAGTCCTTTAAGGAACAAAGGCCAGCTGCTGATGTAGTTGTTAACCCTGGAAGGGCCTGGAGTGACCCCCACAGCGGAAGGGAGGGGTTTCTGTCCCCATCCTCCGGCATCCGTTGTGCTGGCTCCATCCTTGTGTGACATACTGGGAAGGTTGTAACTTTGTAGCACACTCTTCCCAACCTCAGTACAGAGCGTGTACCTACCTGGTGATCAGAAAACTGCAAACGCCTGTCGCTAGCAGCGCGAAGCAGCACCGTGTACTCCACATTCCCCTCTAGTTTTGGAGTCTTCTCTGCCCCAAATATTTGCTCACTTCTTGCTCTTCTCTGGAGTTCTAAATTTGGCCAGGACATCAGATCTTGATGTTGGATAGAATTCTTTTGCATTGAACACCACAACAGGTTTTGGCGGTTTTGTTTCTACTTTCATAAACTGACCATTTGTGATAGTTTTTTAAAGAGTGCTGTTTTGTTTTTTGTTTTTTTCTTTTGAAGCTTGCACAACTACAAACACTAAATTCTACATCGGAATATGGGATCTTGGACTTTTATCCCTGATGTGACTATCCAAAAGGTTTAATCTATTAGAAATATAATTGAAAGGAAAAAGGTAATTATAGGCCTGTTTGATGCATCAGTAGCAAACAAAATACAGTATTATAGTCAGCGAAATGCAGGGTGGCTACAAGCCTTAAAAACAGCTCTGCCACATGGGGGGGGTGGTTAATGAGCTACAAACAGGTTGCTCACCAAAAAAAAAAAAAAAAAAAAAAACAAGGAAAGAAAATGAATGTAACATAAGAAATGTTTAAAAGACCAGGATTGTGTCAGAAAGGAAGCCAGTTATCCTTTAGAGGGTTTATTAGTGACCATTCCAGTAGGAGGGTAGTTTGAACAAGTTAGCAGACAGAACTAGCCCTTAAAAACTCAGGCAGGTATAGTGGAGTGCTTCTGTAATCCCAGTACTCAGGAGGCTGAGGCAGGAGGATCGCTGTGAGACCAGCCTGGGCTACATAGTGAGTTCCAGAGCAGTCTCAACTACATAGTGAGACCCTGTCTTGACACCCCACCCACCCACCCCCCACCGAAGAGAGAAAGGTAGGTGCCGGTGTGCCGGACCAGCAGCGTGCATGGAGCCCGTGAAGAGGCAGAGCCTGTGAAGAGGCAGAGCCTGCCCCGGGTGGCCTGCGGAGCTGTGCTTAAGGAACATGGTACTGTGGAATGAAGATCTAGAAGTTGTTGGCAGGTGGTAGTTAGGTAGTAGGGACAACAAAATTGACAAAGTGGTTTGGCTCCGGATGTATTGATCCTTCCAGACCTGCTGATACATTGGGCATGGATGTGATTTGATGAAAAAGATCAAGGATGGCTCTGGAAGCATCCTAGGCTGCTGAGATGCCATTAAGGGAAGACCTGGTACTGGGGATCGAACTAAGGACCTTGCATTTGGCAAGGTAAGTGGAACCACTGAGCTAAATCCCTGGCCGGGAAAGTAATTGGTCTTGAAGTTCAGGCAGATGGAGGGAGGAGTCCAGAGCTTGGGAGATAGATTGACAGTTGTGCCAAGTTCGTGGCACGTGTGCTGCAGCCAGCTGTTGAGAGCTCCAGGGTTTGCCATCACCGAATAAGGTTTGGGGTTTGACTCACTGATCTGAGTCGTCATCATAACTGACATTAACTAAACACTGAGACACCTAGGAAGACTCCATTTCAGACAGAGGAAGGGCACCACAGCATACAAGGTCTGCAGAGGACAGCAGCTGGTGGCAGAACCAGCAAATGATTCAGCAATATTTTATCACCGCTGTACATGCCGAGATTCAGCATAAGATGGCTTTTTGCAGGGCCAGGGATTTAGCTCAGGGGTTCTGCAGCCTACCTTGAAAGCATGAGCTCCTGAGTTTGATCCCTGGCACCCAAAAAAAGGCTTTTTGCAAAGGGGTTCTCCAGCCCTTCAGAGTGGCATTTCTCTGCTCTGCAGAGGACAAATGCCTTCCTGAAGGGAATTTAAAAACTAGAATGGTGGGGAGGTATGCAGGCCTAACCAATTTAAACACTGCACAAGTGGGAAGACTAGCTCTTAAGAATCCAGTTGCCCTTTGTAAGATATGAGCATTGATACAAGCGATTTAAATGGCTCCAATTTGGTGTGGAAATTCTTGAACTTTCCTGAGTTCAGTCGAAGTGAGCTGCTGGTAAGGATTCCTTCACCTTTAAAGGTTTGAATTTTTAGTGACAAGTTTACAGACAGTAAATGAGACTACTATAGTGTTAAGTGGACTACTTCAATCTTTATTTTCAGAATCACTGTAAATGCTGAAGGCTGGATCACAGCAGGTTCTTTATCAAGACATGTAGAACTCCACCAGGAAGGACTGTTGTAGCTTTGAAGTCTGTACATTCTCCCCCAAATTGATACCCACTGCAGATGTAGACTTGGGTACTGACAACCCTGCTTCTCATAGATGTGTGATTTTGGGGAACTGTTCCTCCCTGAGCCTTGGTTTAAGAATTGAAACACATTTTGTTAGAACACAGGCATTTGGTGTCAGATGCCCGTCTCCTCTTGCTAGTGCTCCTTAAACCTTTAAAGTCAGTATGGTTAGGAATATCCTAGAGGCTGTGAAATTATGGGATTCACTAAACAGACTGCAGTATCCCAGATCTCGATCAAGATTTTAAGAGTGAAACTTGACAATCTTTCTGGAAATTTCAAAGTACTTATGTACCTTCTAGCTCACTCTAGCCCACTTCAGTGTGCATGGTATAAACTAGCACGGGTAGCACTTCCATGGTCTGCAGACTGCAACATAACATATCCTGGAACCATGCTCCATCTCTATCATGGAAGGGAACCCAAGTGCAAGAACCCAGAAACCGTCAAAGAACTTGGAGTTCTTTGGATGGGTGTGGCCATCTTCTATATAGTTTTTATCACAGCACTCATGGTAAAGCTGGTGCTGAGAAGCCTCATATCCCCAGGTCCCAAGCCCAATACTCCATCCTAGGGAAGTGGGCTGACATTCACTGGTGGTGGCTGGAGCAAAGTCCAGCATCCCAGTCAGCAGAGCAGCTTCGCCTGACCACACCACATTATTCCTGAGCTTTCTGAGCTAGCAAGGTTAAAAAAAAAAGTTCCCCCAGCCTTTTATGTTAAGATCTACACTGCACTACAGAGCTTTAAAGCCTTCAAGTAGAACAAAGCACCTGCTGGGTTATTAGTGATGCAATCCTGTGCGGGGAGAGGGGAACAGGAACAGCAAAAGGAAAAAAAAAAAAGAAACAAACAATTCAAGAGCATGTAACTTTTACTTTAATATGGAATAAGTCACATTTTGTCTTTACCAGCAGACGCTTAAGCCAAAGAAGTAAACATGGGTGAGATACAATGGAGTAACCGTCATTCATGCCTGACCTTCACTCTTGGCTTGCTCTTTACTGTCCTTTCCCCCTCCTAGGTTAGTTGCCTCACACTACACCAATGAATTTTTTTAAAGCAGTAGTGAAGACTTACATCTAACCAAGTTCTAGAAAACATCAGCAACATTTAAGTCTTTTGAGCGTTTTTAACACTGCCTTCCACACACTAGAGAAGTGCTCTCGACCACTGAGGACACAACCCAGGCCCTACAGGCCTTAACTAACACAAATACCAGTCAAGCCTGCATGGTGATGTGCACCTGTGATCCCAGAAATCGGGAGGCTGAGGTAAAGCTGAGTGCACAGTGAGATCCGGTCTCACAAAACAAATTTCTGCCGGTCAGATAGTCTGTGAGACTGACAGGCATCTGGGTGAGCATACGGAAAAAATAAGTTAATAAAACACAATAAAAATAATTCACTGTAGCACTTGAAGAAACTCAGTCCCATTCATTTTAGATTGAGGCAGTGCTGACATAAAAGTTCACTCAGGATTTACCTAGCTGTGGGTTCCATACAGAATCAATCAGATTAAGGTGCAACTTCATGTTACAGGCAGGGAAACTGAGATGAGAGAGAAATACATTACTCATGTTCATGTTAATATGAAAGGTTTGTTATAACCGCAGCTGATATTCATCTCAACACCAATAAACCTGAAATGAAATGAAGAAGCTCTTAACGCTGTTTAAATATTATAAGCAAACATGGTTCAAATAATTTTCTCATCTATGCTTCCCAAATCAGTGAAATATTTTTTTCAGTGAAATGAAAAGTTCCCAAAGGAATTCACCTAAAAGTTCTTGATTTCCAAGTCAGCTTATTAAGTTATGTCAGAATGCAAAGTTGTACTACTGCTTAGGGCTTTCTGGGCAGATTTTCAACATTTCTAATTTATAGGTTCAAGGCAGGGATTTAGCTCAGTGGTTCTGCCACCTGCCTCTCAAGCGCAAGGTCTCGAGTTCGATCCCAGGTACCAAAAACAAAAAGCAAAACTAATTTATAGATTCAACTGTATAACAAATTCAGGGTTGTTGATTGGCATGATCTAGTAACTGTTTGCCCTAAACTGCTTACAATGTAATGTTTGCTACATTACCCTTAACTACAATATTCTTATTCAACCTAAGTTTTTGGTTTTTCTTTTTGTTTTGTTTTGTTTTTTAATCTAGCCCTTTAAGCTCCTAGGAATTTTAGATGTTGAAAACATTCCCTGTGCACGGGATTCAATATTGTATGGTTCATTAGGATCTGTTGTGGCCGGACTTGGACACTTTCTGTTAACTAGTGAGTATCTACGCTTGTATCTCTATGCAGAATATTTTCTCTGTGGAAAACAATTTTTCTACATGGAATGACAACTTTATGGAACTATATTCTAATCATTCTAGTGGTTATGCTTATTCCTGACAGGCAGAATTAGAAGGTCATGCGATGCTGGTGTAGGAGGATTCGTCCTGGTGACCTTAGGATGCTGGTATGTTTGCATCTAGTCCAGAAAACCTGGGTCATCTAGCTCAAAAGCATGTGTTCTTTCCAAAACATCTCATTGGGAAATCTGCCTTCTGAGAATCTTATTTTTAAAAGGCTCTTTTAATAGAAATCCATCTTACAAAGCAATGTTGCTGGAATGCCTTTGAGTATAGCCACATATTAAAACCATTTGTTGGATGCTGGAACAGATTAACAAATGACATTCCACTATGAACTGTTTACCTTCTAATTCATCCCTGCTTGTTCTGATGATTAATGTAAAACAATTACGGGATGAATCTCAAATATGTGTTTTACAACACTTAAAACTAAGGTGACAAATCCTCATCTTATGCAAGTATAGCTATTGTGACACAAACAGCACTCTATTAGAATATTTGTAACTTAAACTTCAGATTTTCACCAGTAAGCATTTGAAAATTCTGTGATCATAAAGAGCTAAACTTTATAAATTTCTATAGGAACTTCATTATATGTATATTTACCTATATTTTTTCATAAGGTTCCATTGCAGGTATAATTATGCAAAGGAAAGAATACGGCAAAGAACAGCCAGAGAAGGAATGAAAAATAAGATTTTATATGAAAGCACCCACCTCGATCCTGAAAGAAAAAAAACCAACAGCAGCAACTGAGTAGTAACTTGAACATGGAAAACAGAACTCGTGACGTCAGTGTGAACAATGTTGGAATCAACTACACAGCATTTTATACACACAATACAAAAGATCTCAATCCAGTAAAATAAAGTATGTGTAAACCATAGTCTGTCTTTTTCATACTTGTAGGAAAACTTGCTAACTCATTGTGGCCCTTTACTGTCGGCTCAGCATTCCTGTGTTGGAACAGACCTGTCATGCATGCTTAAGTAGAATTTACTGACGATGTGATTAAGAATTCTAAAAATCTAGTGGTAAGTTTCTTTGCACCAAGCAGTGGGTTTAATGTTGAGATTTCCTGCCTCACAAGCTCAAGTTCTAAGTTCGATCCCTGGTACCAAAAAATAAATGTTGGGATTTTAAGAAAACATCCCAACTATATTTTTAAACTTGCCTTAAAAACAAATCACCACCTCACGTTTTCAGTTGGCATTAATATTTTTAGAATTATGCAACATTTTAAGTGAATTCAGTTTATGCACAGTACAAGTGTTTTGATATGAAAATGTTTGGTTAAATTATGCATTGTTACCTTAATGTAAATAAGACACCTGTCAATCTATTGCAATTTTTAAAAATTTTAAAAATTCTTTAAAAAAAATAAAGGCACTCACTATTGATTCTCAATTCATCTAGGAGAAATCTTCCAATTAGTTTTAGAAAACATTACTTTAAAGAAGGGGCTTGGTTGGTTCACTTCCATTCAGCAGAGGCATTTTTGTGACTGTCACTGAGGGTTAGGGTAAAGGCCATGTGGTTTACAAATGCCACAAGTCCCAGGGAATGTTGCCAAGCACATGTTTTAACAAATTTTACTGATTCTGATTTGGTAGCCACACAACAGGACTCGAACACTGATTTATTGGAGGAAAATGCAATTACAGAGTCTGCCAACCCTTACTGGTACAGACCAACATGTAACTGGTTTTGCCAGCTGTAGTGGTGCAGGCCTGCAATCCTAGCTCTCTGGAGGCTGGAGCAGGAGGATCGCTGTAAGTTGGAGACCAGAGTAAGACCCTGTCTCAAAACATGGCAGTTTTTAATAAGCAGCACTGCTCGACTGCGGGAAAATAGTAAGCATTAATAAATAATGTGACATTTTAACAAGCTATGCAGACAGGACATTTTACTAACACATGTAACATGTAAAACCAGGCAACTATTGTCTTCCAGCTCTACCACAACACAATTACATCTTACCCTGAGTAATCAGAAAAACCCCTCAGCAATGCCTTCATCATTTAACAAGGTTCATTTTCACAGAAGAATGCACAAACTGAAGACCTGGACAAAACAAAGTTATAGTACATTTAATTTAGTTGGGTTACTTTAAAAAGGTCATTATATGCACATCAGTTTTCTTTCTGAACATCATGTTCCCAAATGGTCTTGAAGCTTCCAATCTATTTTCCTCTATTTCCACCCTGCCGTTCAACTGTAAATCTTAGCTACGGGAGGTTCTGCCAAACTTCCCAGTACGTCGTGACCTTCCCATGGGGAAATCCATGACCCCACTCAAAGTCCTCACTCTGCTCGGAATGCTCTTCTTCATGTACCTCCATGAACTACCATTCTGCTCACCAACTTCTCAGATCCTTTACACGATCTTGTGCTTCAGCTCTTACCATTGGATGGCACTTCCTGGCCATCTAGTATCTGCTGCATGCATGTGTAGCTCCCTTCCCCGTGTGCTTAAATACTAGGGACAGAACTCAGGACCTTGGTGCTGAGCTACATCCCAGTTCAACCCCCTTCCCATCAGACCGTGTCTCACTTTTCACCACTGCGTTTGAATAAAAAGCCTCCTCAAGCCACCCAGAGTACCAGGATCACAGGCACCACCAGACAGGCTAGCCTAGATTTCTAGCTGGTAAGAACCTAGTCCACTTTCACACTCCAAAAGATGCCAATAAAGAGTAGTTAACGGAATTACTAAATGCTACCACACAGGGTCCAAGGTTGCCCCCCATCCCACTCTGAACCATAAAATTTTAAACTGTGAAGAGTAACGTACCTTCTATACTCCCTTGGGAGCCTCCAGCACACGGCTTCCTTCATTGTTCCATTAATTCCGAAATCTCACACTAGGTGATATAGCAGTAGGTACCAGCTAAATAGCTGATTAAAATAGAATTGTAGTTATTAGTTATGAAAACTTTTGGCAGCTTTTCTACAATACCTCTTTCATAAATCTAGCACTTTATGCATTTTCCCCTTCCCTCACCCCTCCTTTTTTGACTTGCTTTTGGATCTCAGTAAAAGGGACCTCAGGGAATTAAAATTAGAAGCTCTTCTCTGATTTGATTTATATTGACTGAGTTTGGCAATAAGTTCTTGACTGCACTAGAACCATTATTTGATTTGCAAGCATCTCTTTATTAGTCTACGTACCTCTAACTCCATCGCTGGTTTCCCTTTGCTTCGATTATATAATGCGAGGAGGTCTACATAATAAATTCAGGATTCCTGTTTATGCACTTTTCAGCAAAGAGGGATCAAACAGGGTTTGAATCCTCCTATTCCTAGATAAAAATCTGTGACGGGGTCAAGCCACCCTTTTAAAAGTCATGTTATAAAATAATACACTATACTTTGGGTAAGCAGACCTTAGTGAGCAAAGTAGAAAAATCAAAACGGTTGCTGTAATTATTTGTAGCAGTTCTCTAGAATAAAATAAACTTTGGAAGCATCTTAAAATAGTCCAGTAAATATCAAATCAGGTCAATATGCCAATATCACTACCCAAATACTGGTATTTCCACACAGCTTACTTTATACATTAAAAACTTAAAATTTTCTTTTTAAAGGGAAACAGCTGGGACAAAATTTTTATTATGAATATATTCTTCAAAGTATTGCATTTCAAGTTTATAATGTGAGCACTACAGATGTGTTGCAAATATTTTGAGTGCTTTTCAACCATTATATTCACTAGAATAAGAATGACATTACATTATTTTCATCTTAAGGCTACCACTGATTACATTAATAGACACTTTTAAGACTTCTGTTTTTGAAAGAATGGATCAAGGCAACGGGTGGTAGCCCTTCCACCTTTTCCTAGGAATTAAATCCCACACTATAAACCACCCATCACAAGGGCAAGCTCTTAGTTGTATCAAAATAATCTCTGTACACACAGCTTTTATAAAAGATGTTTCCATGTAAATGTTTCTTCCACTATACCATGAAGACAAGTGAAAAAAAGCATGCTTTATCACATAAATTCAAAGCTTATTTTTGAAACAAATTTTATTTTTCTAGTTTCATGGGTTTTTTTGGCAATGAACAGAAATGGTTATGAAACTTGAGTTGCCTGCTCTTTAAAAGCCATGAGGTTTGCCTTCAGAGCCATAATGCATGGAGTTTAATGTTGCTACCTAGTTACACCTGCACCCAAGTCCTCTCATTTTGTCTATACATTATTCTGCAATACAGAGTTGGAAAACTTAATTTCCTCCGAGTGTATCAGTCAGATGTACACACATTATATGCTCCGCACTGGCATGACCAGACCTTACACCACGAACCTTCCCATTCTGTCTGTGTCAAATTGACTTCCCAACTGACTTTACACTTTTAATGATTACTTCAGTACCCAAAAGGAGCGCAGTGTTTTCCAGATGTTCTAAAGCAGTTTGTGTATAAATGCAGAAATGATGGGAAAACAAGGACAGAAAGTTATCTTACTCGTTTTGCATTAGAACTCAAGTTTTTATTTAATTTCTAATGTCAGGGAGGATAGTAAATATTGTTTCATACAAAGCTATATGGAAGGACATCCAACTGCAGAGAGGACACCAAATACTCGGTGCAGGTATGCAAAGGGAAAATCCGAAAACTCGCTTTTCTCTGAGAATCTGTCCATCTGCTTACCAATTACTTTTCCCCACATCTTTAAAGCTAAGTTGTACTGAAGGTGATCCTAGAACCCTAACATAACAACTGTTAAATATACAATTAATTTGGAATACCTATTAGAATCACTGGAACACATTTAGTTGGGCCCTTTTACTCTTCCACACAGCACATTCACATGGACAGACTAAGGAAAAGGAGATGAAATTTAAATCAGCATTTTTGCTTTACTTTTCAAAGAAAAAAATAAAATACGTTGGAACCTTTTATTCTTGTACTTGTCCATAACTCTCCCTTAAGAGCTCAAAAACTGGCTGCCAAATAAACTGCACTGTTTTTGGTCTATGCTTCTGATTTATAGCACATAACCTATTTGTCTGTGAGCTATCTCTTTGTTCTTAGTGACTTGCGTTTTCACTGATACTACTGTAGCAAATGTTTTGAGTGTTCACCAAGTACAACTCATTCTTTCTCCTCTAATATGGAACGGGCCTATCAATGAAAAAAGCAGGAAAGAACATGCTCCAAACAGTTCAGTATTTATCAAACAGATACTGCACTGTGAGCGCTTCGACCTGGAATCTCTGAATAACTTAACAGTATCATACATTATCAAACTGAACACGCCCATGAGTAGATTATGCACTGCCAAGCAATGACTATCATGGTGCAAAGAAGTGAATCTTTTAAGACACATTTGCAGACTTGGACTAGTCCAAGTCTAACCTCATTAATCTCTACCGTACAGCATTTTTTCACACCCAGATTCAGCTGTTTCAAGCAAATCCCAGTGTTGTCAAGATGCGGGTTTAATAAATTTCCTAGGCTTATACTTAGGCAAATCAGATTATTAATGAATTAAACAAATGTCTAAATCCTCTTATCCTAAAAGCATAGTTAACAGGTATCCAGAAGTTCACCTACCTAGTCAGGGATTCTGATAGACTGGCCTACCCGACACTGGGTTTACAATCATGAGTGATCCCACAAAATACTTGTGACTTGTGTTCCATTGTCTGAATGCTACATGAACTTCATAAATTGTAATCCGTCCTACTATACCATTCAAATGAAGCTGGAGGGAAAGTATTCGGTCATTTATACTTTTGGTCAACTGGCAAGGATGGTAAAGTGTAAGCACACCATCTTTTTATTTAAACTACTTCCCAATTAAGCTTGGAGGTCCTACTGCATTTGCACATTTGATACTGACCCAGGTGTTGACACCAAATAAACTGGCATACACTAATATTTGGACATCCCTACTTTTCAACCCACTCAAAAAATGTATTACTTCAATTAGTACCGTAGCTCATTCCCAAATATGTAACTGAGGGTTAAGAAGACAAAGGCCCACTGCTACGTAAGTTAGCTAGACAAAGTACGTGTGTCTCACGTGTACCCGTAGTGCAACTAAGCAAAAAACAGGATGACTAAAACTGCAAAAGCACTTTACTGGCTACATCTACCATCACTGTCTTAATGAGTAATGACATCTATGGCCAAAAAAAAAAAAAAAAAAAAAAAAAAAGAAAAAAAAAAAAAGCTGAAAAAATACAAGGAACAAAGACTCCACACTAAGGGTGCTGCAGTTTTACTGAGTGTTTTCAGTAATTATCGGATTTGCAATTACTATCACATCCAAACCAAAGTTTTAAGACTTTCAGAGAAAACAGCTTTGGATAAAATAACGGGTTCGCTTTTTACTAAGGGAAACACATCTGAATGAGTATGAGGTGGGGGTTAGAAAATATTCTCATACAAGCTACTTTTTAAAAACATTTTATATGTGGAAATTATGGTGTTTACCTTTAATCAGACATTCTCACAGATCTAATTATAGGCAAATATATGCCATTACCTAAAAACCGAAATACTATTTTTCTGTGCAGTGGAATGCATTAGCGACATTAATTCTAAAAAAGCCAATCTGTTAATGCTTAAGTTTATAGAAAAATGTCACTCAATTCCTATGACTGAGGAAATCTGAAATACGGAACACAATGTCCATGAATATGATTCCCAAGTGAGAAATGATTTAAAATACTATTAACTATGTTTTCACGAATAATCGTTAAGAAAATTTAATTGCTTCCTGTTGTTCAATGGACTCAACTTCGTCCAACTGACTCAAGCTCCATTTCAGATTTCAGAGCTTCAACCTGCCATCTGGACGTCATGGCCACTACTCCGAGCAAAAGGCCAGTCGTATGTGGTCCACCAGCAATAAAAATTCCTGACAGCCATGGTCATTCCTCTTTTAGTTTTGTCTTCGTTCCTATTCACCTGTTTAGGCAAGTGCTGTACCCACTGGGCTATATCCCTAGTCTCCTACCCCATTTTTGATTCAGCATGAAACCACTCTGAACCCAAAGCAATCTCTTTTCTCTAGATCTGTTCAGAACTGTTTCAGAATTTTTGTTTGCCATGGGGGTGGGGGTGGCAGACAGAAGTTTTAAAAAAATCAAGACTCCTTCATAAATATTCTATCAAAATTTGGCATCTCTGAATTTATTTGGTGCAATTTCTTCTGAGACAGGCTCTCACTATGTAGTTCAGGGTGGCCTTGAACTCACAACTCACAATGTTGCCCAGGCTGGCCTCCAACTTGTGAGGATCCTCCTGCCTCAGCCTTCTGAGTGTTTTTCACAAGTGTAGACATTATTAATCATGAGATTGCTTATAACTGTAACATGTTCTGGAAGAACTTATTTTTATTGCATCACCCCATGTCCAAATTTTTGGGTGATCCAGGCATGTTGGCCTAACTAGTAGTATCTGACCTTTATATTTCTGTTCCAATTGTGGGTATGAATTTGTTGAGCAAATCTGAGCTGGAAGGTGTATCCAAGGTTTTTATAAGGCACAAATGGAAACTTTAACACCAAAATGCTGATTAAGATAGGCAGTTATATGCAATCCTAATATTCTGAAAAATAATTCATGCCACTGGTTATCCAAGTTAACCACTAAAAATACAAAAACCTATGGATGCTACCTTGTACTCTTAAGGATTTTTATGGTAATTAGCCTTTGTTTCAATGTCAACTGAACCTACTACACCATCACCTACCTACACCATCATCTGTAACTCAACTCCAGCTTGTAGTAAGAAAATTCCTACAAGTAAAAATCTGATTTTCAATGGCTAAGACAAAATCTGAACAATCAAATACAGCAAACCTGAACTTACCAGAGGCAACCTGAAAACGAAACACTAAACTGAAGTCAAATTTTAGTTCTACAGTTTGACTCCTGATCCCTCACTTCATAGTGAGGATCCTTCAGATGATTAAGTGTTCTGTGCAAACCCAATATAATTACAATTAGGGGATCTAATGTTATCACATAACTAGTTAAGTTAGCAGTGTTGTGTAGTAGTGAAATCAATGACTGGCTTGCTTGCATGATGGCTTCTAAAAGCATCTGTTCCCAGAGTTTCATGTATCATATATATGTATATAAAATTATCAGTTGAGGACAGCTGTCAGCATTTTGTAAAGATGATACAGTGAGCATTAACTTCTCCCAGCCAGTATACCTTTTCCCCTCATTAAATGTTATAAGTCGTCTGGGGGGGAGGGGAAGGGAAGAATTCAACTTATTATAAATCAACTGTCAATACACATTTAAGTTTTTAAAACCTAAATGTTCTAAGTACAGAGTAAAGAATAAGCTGTCCAGAAAGCACACACTTAAAATTTCTCCTCTTGGGAGTTCTATAAAGGGATTTTAAACCTTGATGGCGAGAATCCCAAAACAAGAGTAAAATGAATTCTTTTTATTGCAAACAAACGGCTAAATTAATTTCTCCACCCACTTTTTTTTTTTTTTTTTTT